ATACAACCAAGTTGTTGATTAATAGGGTAGTTCCTCCCAACAATATTCAAAAGGGAGAAGGGACTTGGGAGCAAGGATGCGCCAGAAATCTGCCTGACAAACCACTCCCCTGCCTCTCCCATGCAGACCGAAGTACCGTGTATGCATAGGTCACCCCTTGTTGAGGGTTCAGGGCTAAGAGTTTAGTAGCAACCCCAACTGAGAAGCAATGGCATCCTCACACGTTCTCTCAGCCACCAGCTAGGTGCGAACGTCAGCTCCTGCGAAGAATTCGCCTTCGAACATGGGGAGTCTTACCATGGCAAAATAGGCATGGGGAAGTGGCATCGCAATTTTTCACCATGACTACGCTTTCTTGAACGCGTTGAGCATCGGGGCAGGCTCACTTCATGTGTATGGTTGTGTGCAAGCCACCTGTCATGGAAGCTGTCTTAGCGGCCGCAAAGTCCAAAAACTCTGAACACGACACATCATCCCGAAACCCAGGCAAACCCGCAGAGAGCCGAATACCCTGAGTTCGCCTCCCTATGGACCCCGAATGAAAATCGCTAATTTTTTTGAGGTTTTTGAAACTGGGAAATGGGTTCCTCGGCTTGACCCGGCAGGGTACAGGCACGTAGTCTGCTTGCTCCACGCCCCTCCACCCCCATACGAACCATTAGGGACACCTCACGACCCTAGTATGTCAACCAGAAAGAGCTGGTAGGGGGGTTGTAGGGGGGGTTTGGTGGGTACCAAGGAACGCCAACTTCCACTGTAAAAGGACTCACAACCAATGCCAACCAACCCGTAGCTCTGCACCTGAACCTGCCCAATAGCTGTAAACTCTCGACTCTGTGAGAGATTCGACGTTTTCCCATGCCTGGAACTGGGGTCTCTGGAGTATATATATATATATATATATATATATACACCTATACATGTATATCCACCTACATTTCTGAACCGTGAGGAGCAGGTATACCAGAAGGTCGAGATATTGCCTCCACCCTGACCCTGAACCCCAAACAGTGGTTCTTGGCCGGGGCACCTCTGCCCTGGAAAGCAGGAATCCAAGAGCCTGCCATGGTTTTACGGCTTTGGGGCTACATCCTAACACACTCGAGCCCTGAAGGTTTAGGGTCCTAGGGGCTCAAGAAACCTTGGGCTTGGAGGGGATACAGTCGGAAGCTTTGGGAATTGCATGGTAGACTGTTGAAGTCGGCATGCTGTCTTCGCTTCGGGCGGAGCAAGTACAGTGTGCAGAGGGACAGCTTGAAAACATGGGGCAATGTAACAAATTCAGGGAAGTTAGACAACCAATATATAGCAATAATAAAAATACTCACGATAATGATAACACTACTGATACTAATACAAAAAAGCTCTGAAAATATAATATTCTGAATAACAAAATACAAATAACAACCAATGCATGCCGGAAGGGCCACACCCTCCAAGGCGATGTGACGCAGCGATGAAACGCTGACGGGCACAGACTCGACCTGCCACCACAAAATCGCACAAGAATATGCTGCAGAATATGCTGGACAACCTTAATTCCGTACAATAATTACGTACAATAATTAAAAAGTTTAGGGTTTAGGGTATAGGGTTTAGGGCACAGCTTAGACTAACTATTCCCAGCTGCCTAGGCAACATCTGATGGTGCATTGTCAACAGCTTGGTGGCGGCAACCGTGGTGCATGCATTTGTCGAAATAAGGCCAAGAGCCGCACTCGTAACGGTGGCAAAGACGTTAGTTGAAAGACTGGCACCTGGATTGGAATCCTGATTTACAAGACTCTCACATATGCACAACAACCGGCATACGCAGCACCGACGCGCCTTGCCGTTGGCGATGGCCTGCCTCACTGCGACTGCTATTCCGATTAAATGCGTGGGTAAAGATCTGGAAAGAAACCTTGACAGGCTGGTCTGTTTCCCATGCATACAAGAACTGCGTACCTGCGCAACTGTGCACCGAGGGACCCTGGCAACTATTGTCTTCGAACGAACCGCGCTTTTCACTCGCTCAGCATGCAGTAACCATGCTATGGTAAGGGTACCCTTTTTTGGCTTGCTTACTTTATAAGGGAACCCAAAACAGGAAACGGTACCACTGGGCTACCAGGATTTTGAGGCAGCATGATCTGCAGGAGCCTTAGTCTCGTCAGGTCTTCGTCCGAATCCGACGAAGGGCCCACCGCGTCAATGAGCCTCGACCGGCGATGGATCTTCATAACTGGTGCTCTCATCTGCTATCTCAGAAACTAGGAATAGACAGGGAACCCTCGCTCGGGAAACTTGACCCTCAGAAAAAGGCAGACAAAATAGACCACTCTGGGTCCTAGACACCTGTAAACGGAAGATCTGATCTGTGAACTTCTTTCACGTATGTCAGAATTGTTAAATGATACGGGAAACCTCGCCGGAATGAGTTACGTAAATTAGGGTATAGTCTTGCGCCGTCAGTCTCGCAGAGTCTGCCTTCAAGAGGTGGCATGAGTGAGTAGATTCTTGAAGCTCTTTAAGCAGCTGAACTTAATAACAGTTTTTTTTTTCTGCAGAGGTGCTGAAATTTCTGGATTGAATTGCTTCGAAGAGCTGATTTTGCGATGCGCCTCTTAGTGTCTTAGTGGAATGATCACTGTCTCTCTTCAATAACCCCTCTTGCCTCCCTGCTGTTTCCTTCAGCATAACCGCAGACCCGGATCGTGCACCGCACCCCGCACCCCGTTCCCTTCTCCGCTGTCTCTCGTAACCCAAGCCTTGTGCCGCACCCTGGTCCCCGAATGACATCATCGCGTGAACCGAGGGTGCAGTTCTTACTCGTGTGAGTGAGTGAGTGAGTGAGTGCGAGTGAGTGAGTGATTGAAGTGGTCCACAGTGCTACTGCGACCTACACCATCTCCCCCCCCCCTCGTGCCCATGCTGAGTTCGGCAGCTCGACGCGGTGATGGCATGAGTTGAGGGGCTCATGCTTGGAGGTTCATGGGTATCTATAAGCACGTAGGGTTACAGAGAAGGTAACGTATATAGTATAACCTTAGCTATGGTACTTACTGACCCAAGCCCTAGACCCTAACCACCAAACTTGGGGTGTTGGGGTGTTGAGAGAGACCTCGTTCAGAAAGGGTGCAACAAGGGTGCTAGGGTTTAGGGTGAAATAGGGCCCATAATTTTGGTAGTTCTTGTATTCTAAATATAAAAGGGCCACAAGGGAATACTAGTAGTACTTGTTCCGACCCTTTTACCCTCCCCAAACCCCCGAAAACCCATACGGGGTTCACGAATATAGGGGACCCGACATAGACCCCCAAATAGTAGGACCCCTTATAATAAGGACCTCTCATTTCGGAAACCCCCCCCATACCCTTACACCACACCTCTGCCAGAGCTCGTCTGGCTCGCCACAGAGTTCGGTCACCTGCGGAGCAACTTTGCTCTTCGGGATTCAATGTTTCAGCCTTGTGGGTTTCTAATATAGGGGTTTACGATAACAAGGGGCCCTTATATGGACCCCCCAAATAGTAGGACCCCCTCAGAATAGGGACCCCCATAAGGTACCCCCAAATATCGCAAACTCCCATATTCGGACTTGGAGTTCGTGTTATCGCCATGTTTACAGGGTTTAGGGTTTAGGGTCAGAGGATCCAGACAGGCCTGCTGCTTCATGGCCTGCTGGGCCTCCAGCGTCATGCGCGCAGACATGAGGAGGACCTCTCCAGGCAAGGGTCTCTGGGTTTGCGCGCATGGACCCTACTAACTACTTCGGGCTCGAACATGAGCACACAGTCGGTAAGCTTGTAAACCAGCAAACCCTACAGCTTAACTCTAAATACACAAAGAAAGGGCCTGAACACGCGTTCGTCCTCATTGCGGGTTGATCTACAATTATGTTGGCCCTGGTGTGTCTTTGCAAGTACAATAATCTTGGTACCCCATAGTTCAGGACCGAATGTGCTTGCAGCCACCAGCTTCAACTTGTCCGTCGTCTAAGTTCGTGGGCATGAGAAGCCGACGCCTCCGAGTCCAGACTCGTCACATAGTCGCTCAACGTTGCTGCCTTCCGCACGGATTGCAGCGGAGAAAGCTTGCTGCAGAGTCTTCTGAGGACAGCCTAACCTTCTCTCTCACAGGATCCGCGCGCAACTCACCAAGATGTCGACTATCATGGGAACGAGCACAGGGATCGAGGCTTTTTCCATGAGCAGCGCACACTCGGATCATCCATTCCCGCCACCTTTGCCGGAAAGACGCTCCAAGGTCTGTCATGCCCGAACGGACTCTCATGTCGCGAGGGCCATGTCGGACGGTCTGGCACCGCGGTCATGGCATGGTGTAGCTGAACAGCAACTGCGGGGATCATCTAAACTTGGCTCCTTCAAGGTTGCCCCCTTCTTCGTCTGACTCATCCACCACGTGTTGGGAGATGAAGGAAAGTAGGTGAAAAACCGCTTGATGTCTTTCTTTAGGGTCCTTTGGCTTTCGGTCTTGGGAGACAGTGCAAGGCTTGGGAGTTCGGGTCCCCGGCGTTTCCGTGGTTGTTTAGATGTATTCGGGCGCAGTTGCCGAAGACGAAAATCGTTGAAGCGTCCGCTGACACTGTCCTCTTGAAAGGAGACTGCCAGCATCGGGCTGCTTCATCCATGGCCCTTGGCCTTGAACTGGAAAACAGAAAGGTGTCCAAGGAAGTGCGACTTCAACACCTGGGATGAAAGAGCACTGACTACCTCGTGGGGTTTTTCCCTAAATAGGACATACCACTCAGACATGTGAACGGGCTGCCTGGCTATACTTGTCTGAAGCTAACTCGCGCTTCCTGAGGCACGGAGGGCTTTCTTCTGCCACAATATGTGGTAAAGCAGACGGTCGTTTCGACGGTCAGTTCTAAAGTGCTGAAGGCTTTGGGCTCGAGGCCAGTGACAAAGCCCACTCAGATTAAAATCAAATGCAACACAAAAGTGACTGGGACTGGGATACTGTGGGGAGCCCTGCTCTGAACTGCAGTCGCTCCCTCAGTCATGGCCGGCCCCCCATTTCACGACGCTGTCATCTGCCAGGAGGGCCGCGAAGCCCGAGCGGGAACCGCGGACTTGGCGCACATCGAGGAGCTGGTTCTGGACACTGCGGCAGTCTCCCCCGTGCCTCGGCTAAGGGTGCGTGTGTAGGGCTTGGAAGGTTCAGGTGACTTTTGCCCTTTCTCAGCAAAACATGTCAGCGATGCATCATCACTGCTAACTTGAGACCTGATTTCAAACGGGCTGAGGGTCTGTAGGGTTCAGATTGAACTTGTTTGGTTGAAGGTTACTTCTTAGGGTGTAGAGTGTAGATGCTCAGACCCAAGCTTCTTCGCCATGTCGCACTCTGCAATTTAAAGCCCTCTAACCCCAGCTTCTCCCCTAAGCCGAAGGGCTCTGGGTTGCCCCAGGTCACGACATGTCCGTCCAGGCAGGTGGCGGCGAAAGCCGATTCGGCGGCATCGATCCGGTAGACACCCTCAAGATCCTCCTGGACCGCAACACTGTTGCCACCCAAATCTGGACTTCCCCAGGTGATCACCCGCCCATCTGCCCGGATGGCTGCGAAGGCACCGGCGGTGGCCTCAATACGGTGCACCTTCTGGAGCTTCTCGCAGACATCCCCGCTATACCCCCCCGAGTTGGGATCGCCCCAGGTCACCACACGGCCGTCGGCCAAGACTGCGGCAAAGGCGCGGTAGGAGGCCGCCAGCTGCTGTACGTGCCTCAGCTGGCCCTGGACTTGGCTGCTGTCCCCTCCATACATCGCCTTACCCCATGACACGACCGTCCCATCTGCCCGAAGCGCCGCGAAGGCATGCTCTGTGGCGCAAAGGTGCCGAACGTTTCGGAGCTGGTCCTGCACCTCCGTTGAGTCGCCACCGGTGTCCGGATCGCCCCAGGTCACGACGCTGCCATCCGCACGGATGGCTGCAAAGGCTCGCCGTGCTGATCGGATTTGGTGCACTCCCCTGAGTTGATCTTCCACGTCGCTGCTATCTCCCCCGAAGGCCACATCTCCCCAAGTTACTACGCTTCCGTCTTCCCTGAGGGCTGCGAAGGCGCGATAGGAAGCTTGCAAGTCACGAACCTCAGTGAGTTGGCGCTGCACTGCTGCGCTGCAGTGCCCGCCACAGAAGAAGGCCCCCCAAGTCACCACACGGCCGTCAGAGAGAACGGCAGCAAAGGCACCAGACGATGCACAGATTCTGCGCACGTCTTGCAGCTTTTCTTCAGCACTGTCGCTGTTGCCCCCGGCTTCTGCTTCACCCCATGTTTCCACAGAGCCATCCGTGCGGATAAGGGCGAAGGCAGGGTTTTTCTTGCTTGACGCGAGCGTGGGGCGCCTCACGCTGGCGTTGACCATGTCGCCATCCCGCAGGCACGAGCGCTTCGCGCACCACCAATCCTCCAGAAGCTCACCGCTTTGGCCAAACAAGGCATGCAAACCAACCTGCATCTTCGCTTGGGCTGCAAGCTTCACATCGTTTATGATATCATCCGGTTGCATGGTGATGGATGCCGTTTGGCCACTTAGGAGGACCACATCGACCCGGATGGCCATGGCACGCAGCGAAGTCAAAAAAAAATCCAATGTTCCGCAGCTGTCTTTCGATGCAAGCTCGGGTAGAACTGCATGAGTCTCTGATTGGGGTACCCGAAATATTAGGGGCCGCCTTATAATAAGTAGCCCATCTCGGGGCTCTAACTTAGAGCAATGACCACATGTCCGTTGCGCCTCTGTTGCATACCAACTCCAGCGCATGCTACCGTCCCTGTGTTGCAGCCAAGCTTGCGAAGCAGAGCCTGTACTTGGGCTTAGGGCTTAGGGCTCAGGGCTCAGGGCTTGGGGCTTAGGGCTTAGGGTTTAGGCTTAGGGTTTCGGTTTAGGGTTTAGGGTGTTTCGGTCCCCTAAGCTGTTAACCCGAAACCCTACCGTGAGAGCCAGTAGACTACAATTATTGGCTAGCGTCTTAGGGCGTTTTAGGGTTTGCGGTTTTTGGTTGTTTTAGGGTTTGCTTAGGGTGTGTTCGGGTTTTGCCCACAAAACGGTTCAGGGTTTATGGTTTGGGGGGTTTGTTCAGCAATGTTCGTTATTCCAAAATTGCATTGAAGCACATAGAAACGTATTCATACTGTTGATGGACAAAATCTTGCATGACCCCCTATGTTACACGTGTGCGACGGTTGGTAATCGAGCTCCCCACGCCCCTCGAATTTCAATGTTGCGTGCGCATATGGGTGATGCAGGATTTCGGTCATTCACACACATGCAACTTCGAAGCATTGCAAGGACAGCAATGTTAAGATTCAGGGTTTGGAAGGGATGACCTGCATAATAAAAGTGATGCAGGATTTCGTCCATCAACAGTCTGGAGACTGGCAAGTTTTCGGAAACTCTGGTCTCTATAGTCACGGCTGACCACAGTCAACTGAGGGCCGTGTGTGAGGCAGAAAGTCCGAAATATGGTATTTTTCAAGTTTCAAATTGTTTCTATAGTTTCAAATTAGTTTCCAATCAGTTTCAAATTAGTTTCAAAATCCAGTTGCAAAATCGCTGTTAAGGGGGAACTACAATTTCTATCCGCGCTTTTTGAAAACCAGGAACCTCTGAGATTCCTTCATTTTTTGAATTGCGCATAGAAAAATGCAGTTTCCCCTTAACAGCGATTTTGCAACTGGATTTTGAAACTATTTTTGAAACTAATTTGAAACTACGGAAACGAATTTGAAACTTGAAAAACGCGGCATTTCTGCTCTTTGGCGCTTGGCCACACCCGAGCAAGAGGAGAGCTTAGGCTTGAATCTGCCAAAGGTACATCTCCGACATTCTTCCCAAAAGCCATTCCAGCAACAACTCTTGCCAACAAGTCAGTAAATTATCTTGTCCGAGACAGTCTGGAGACTGGCAAGTTTTCGGAAACTCTGGTCTCTATAGTCACGGCTGACCACAGTCAACTGAGGGCCGTGTGTGAGGGGCCAGGATGGGGGCAGAAAGTCCGAAATATGGTATTTTTCAAGTTTAACTTGAAAAACGCGGCATTTCTGCTCTTTGGCGCTTGGCCACACCCGAGCAAGAGGAGAGCTTAGGCTTGAATCTGCCAAAGGTACATCTCCGACATTCTTCCCAAAAGCCATTCCAGCAACAACTCTTGCCAACAAGTCAGTTATCTTGTCCGAGACAGTAGTATGGTGACTGAGCCTAAGTTCCATTACAAGAACGTGGCGAAAGTCCAAAAGCCTCCGCATCACCAGCGGCTTTCTCCAAGCCATAGCGCCTTGCAGTCCAAAGAAGATTACAGGTGAGAGCCTCGAACTAGGTAGGCTTGAGTGGGAATTTCAGTGTTTAGGCCTTAGGCCTTTAGGGTTTGATGCTGTATGAACTGCAAGATGTGATGCAAGCTTGCCGCAGACAACATGATCCACGCCTTGGTTCTTAGCATATACGAAGCTTGCAACACCGCCAAAAAGCGTGCCAGCCCCAAAGGCCAAAGCCTAAAACCCGAAACCCCTCCAAACAAAAAAATGACCCATAGCGTCCTCTGTCCCTGGGCTCCCGGCAGCTCCGCTTGCCGCAAGGCATATCCGAAGAAAGCGGACATGGAGTAGACCTGCTGCTGTAGGGCTTAGTGGTTTAGTTGCTTTAGGGCTTTGGTTTAGGGGCTTGGAGTTTTGCATTGTGAACTGGCACCTTGCAGGCTGCACTTCTTCCTAGTTCCAGACATGGAAGGAGAGGGCACTGCGTGATGTAGGTGCCCACATCCAACCAGCACACGTCCACAACATGCGGGGTGCTGTTGTGAAGCTTACTTAGAGATTAAGTCGCCATGAGCTAGAGATTCTGCAAGTTTGTGACAGCTTAATCAAAGCTCCCCGAGCTGAAACTACTAGCGCTGAACATCTGTTCCTGGACTCCTGAACTTGAGGGCCGGCCTGCGCAACTTGGAAGAGTGACAGCTGCAGCGTGTAGTCCTGCAAAGTGTAAGTGGCTGACACTTTGCAGGGGAAGGTTGGCACTCCATGGCCTTCGACATCGGAGCTTTTGGTCTTCCGGTCTTCCCCCCTTTTGTATGCTCCGTTTTCGGGGAGGTTTCGGGGTTGTAGGCAGATTTCAAGGAAGAATCCTGAGACCCTTGGCGCTGTAACCTCCAAACTCATGTCCTGAAGCACGCCAGAACCCTCAAACTCCCTAAGCTGCTATACCCCTGGAACCCTGAAGCCCTTTAACCCCATAAAAACCCAAACCTCCCCCCCCCCCCCCCCCCCCCCCTCCCCGAAAACCCTACGCCGCAACGCCCCCCCAGTCCCGAACGAGATGGTCCCACCTCGGCGCGCGGATGAGCCGAAGAATCACCCCCCTAAACGCCCCGAAGCCTCATAAGCAGGGGTCCTCAAACAAGAGCCTCACGAAGACGCAGGTGCACTTAAGGGAATGCTTCAGGGATTAGAGTCTCGGGTTGAGGGGCACCTGAAGCTGTCCAGCATGGGCCGAACCGGCAAAAAACCCTGGATCACATCACAAAACCACCGTTCGGAATCCCACGGGGGCTGAGGCGTGCTGCAGAATAATGCTCTCCACCCCCAACCCTTTTGTTAAGTGGGAGTTGTGGACCTTTTGGGGGTCAAGTTGTGTAAGGGTATAAACCTACTATGCCATATTAAACGAGTTTTTGAAAATGACGTTGTATGCTGAGACTGGGGTAGGCACGGCTCAATGATGCCAAGCACATGCTGTTGAACCAGAGGCATCGCATCCTTGCAGGGGCAATGTGAGCAACGAGAAGCCAAGTGACAGGGACCCACATGAGAGACTACTTGGGATGTTGCCCCTTATACTGACAGTCCTTGATCGGGATTTGTAGCACCCCCTACAATAATCCCTGTTAGATGACTGTCAGGGTAAGGAGGAACATCCCAAGATACCGCCAGAATATTGTATAGTTACTGTTCCCATACAGTAACGCTCTTTGTGGCAAGGCAGCGTCGACGTGCTCTAGTTCTTCTGACGTCCACAAGGTGCAGGGAATGTGGGCTGCGAGCTCTCCAGCTGTATGAGGCATTTCCAACACACATTTTCTCTCAACCCCTTGCTAAATCACACTATTACCGGTTCTGCCCTGCTTGCGTGGCCTGTCTCTGATTGTGCTGCTGTCTTGATACATACACAAGAGGGCGTCTAGCACTCTGGGTCGTAAGCTCTGCCGTCCTATTGTCAACATTCAAACCCTAAACCCTAAACCCTACACCCTAAACCCTCAACCCTAACAAAGGTCTGCTCTCCGAAGCACGAACCCTTCGACGTAGAGGCACCTCGGTGTAGAGCTGCGTGGCGAGTCGCTTGAGCTGCGCCCCGGTCAGGCGTTGATCACCTGATTCGCCTGTCATTCGCAAGCACCTCTACGACTCTACGGGTCTCAGCGGCAAGGTTGGGATGTTCCCCCCTTCTACGAACAGTCCTTAATAGGGATTAGAGTAGCCCCCATTATAATCCCTGTTAAAGACTGCTCGTATGAGGGGGGAACATCCCAATGGCAAGGTCTCACTCAAGTACTGTAGGGGCCTGAATCATTAGAATAATGTTTTGTGGGTTATTATAGTATAACTATAACCATTAAAGGGACCCCTATGGAAATCCTATTCGTCATTCTTCCGACCCCCTACAGTGCTGGCCTCCTTGCGTCGAACTCTCCCGTCGCAAGGAGCTAAGCAAAGGCACCTGGGGCTGCGCGACGCCCACAGAAGCACCGCAACAGACCTCCAAACACAGCTCCCTAAACCCTAAACCTTAAACCTTCAACCCTTAACCTTAGACCCTAAACCTTAAACCCTAAACCCAACACCTTAACCCTAAACTCTAAACCCCCATCTTTAGCCCAAGGGCCCGATAGAAACTGGTGCATGAGCAGAAGCCCTCATCTGGCCTCCATCTGCTGGATATGGCTCCTAGCCTCCTGGAGAAGCTTGTCGGCTAGCTTGCCTGGGGCAGAACTCATCGACTGGGGGCAAGAAATCCCCAAGACCGAACATCCAAAGAATTGCTAAACATATGTACCCTTGCACCTAAACCTGCAGCCTGAAAGACCCCTAAGCCCTTAAACTTCAACCCTTAAAACCCCAAACCCTGAAAGCCCCAAGCCCATGTTCTGCACTCGAAGCCCGTGGGTTCAGAGTTTAGGGGGTTTAGGGTTCAGGGTTTAGGTTTTTTAGGTTTCAGGGTTTAGGGCGTGTCGGGTTCATGGTTTAGGGCGTTCAGGGTTTAGGGTTCAGGGTTTAGGGCTTTGAGGGTTTAGGAGGAAACGCGTCTCGGGCCCGGGGCTCGCGCCCTGACGCTCCTCCATCTTGAACTCCCTGATGCGCTCGCGCAAGGTCATGGTACTCGGATCGAAGTCCTGGAGTGAGTCTTGGAAATCAGGGCACCCCCAAAATTTATAGATCCCCTAATAGTAGGATTCCCCTGGTAATACGGACCCTAATAGGTACCCCGAATTTCGGAAAACTCCCAAATGGCTTAGTGCTTCTAAGCTCTCTAGAGGCCGGGTCTAAGAGGGTCAGGACTTCGGAGCAACAATCCGGCCACCCGACATTTAGGAAGCTTTGGACGATCCCCCTATTAATAAACCCCCAACTCGTAGGATTCCCCTATCATAGGACCCCAATAAGGTACCCCCCTAATCTCGGGAAACTCCACTTCAGCACGCCCTTGGACACCCCTTGGGGTGTCCTTCAAGGCCCGAAGCTCCGAGAGCAAGGCCCGGTCGAAGTCCCAAGGGTCCTGAGAAAGTGTGTACGTTGGGATGTTCCCCCTCAGAATAACAGTGATTGTAATGGACCCCTTATATACTGAACCAGGGTTTAGGGTTTAGGGTTTAGGGTTTAGGGTTTAGGGGGGGGGTTTAGGGTTTGGGGTTTAGGGTTTCGGGTTTAGGGTTTAGGGTTTGGGGCCGCCCTTAATAGGGATTATAGCACCCCTGCCCATAATCCCTCTTAAGGACTGTTCGTAGAAGGGGGAACATGCCAAGGTGTAAGGCTGAAGACGTGAACACCGAAGTGGAAGAGCGCACGGCAAAACACGCAATCCTTGGGTACGAGAGAAGGGAACGGCAACCATAACATCCTGTCGACCCGTGTATTCTTACGGCTTCCCAAGTTAGGGTGTTTAGCTTGAAGGTTTCCAGGTGTAGGGCTTGCAGGCGTTAGGGTTGCTGTAGGGTTGTTAAGGGTTTAGGGTTTAGGGTTGTAATGTAGGGTTTCGGGTTCAAGGATGCTGCAAGAAAGAGTTCGCATGGCTACCAGTACTGGCGCGCTGGTTACACTTGGAGATGTCGATGACCCCTAAACCCTAAACCCTAAACCCTAAACCCTAAACCCTAAACCCTAAACCCGATTTGGAAGCTCCCCATCCCTGCGGCACACTGAGGGGCCGGACTGCAGAGGCCTTGGGCTTTGCCAGTGCGGGCCTGGCAGCCTCAGTGGGTTGGCCACTGGCAACCCTACTAGGGTTTAGGGTTTAGGGTTTAGGGTTTAGGGTTTAGGGTTTAGGGTTTTAGGGTCTAGGGCTTAGGGTTTCGGGTTTCGGGTTTCGGGTTTCGGGCTTAGGGTTTAGGGTTGAAGGCAATTTGGGAATTTGGGACCTTATATCCCCCCACATGGGCATTTCCCAGATAGGGGTGCCCCTCCTATACCGCAAAACACGATCATCCTTCTTGTAGGAACCCCCGAAAAGGGTACCCCTATCTTTCGGGAACCCACCTTCAAAGGACTGTACAAGGACCCTATGTCCTCCCAGAAGGTGCTTGGTCGGTGTTGAGTCGACGAATCGTGTACTCAGGGCTCAGACGTGATCTGGATCACGTCCAAGTCTTTGCCTCGGCGTCGTCAAAAAAGGGCTTTCGGGGTTTTGTAGAGGGTTTTGTGAAACATTTTGGGGCATTGGCAGAAGGTGCCCTGAACTGAAACTCACAAACCCCGAACCCCAAAACCCTAACACCTTCTGAATTCCTTTTAAAAACCCTAAACCCTAAACCCTAACCCTAAACCCTAAGCCCTAAACCCTAGCCAACCTCCCCCCTGTCAAGCTTAGGGGTCGCACCCGCCCACAAAGCCACGAAGTCGTCCAGACCCGATGCCACTGACCTCGGCTGCCAGCCCAAACGGCTTGGCATTTAGGGTTTAGGGTTAGGGTTCAGGGTTCAGGGTTCAGGGTTCCGGGTTTAGGGAGGTATGAGGGGGCTAGAGAAGTTGCAAGGTTGAGAGTTTTGGAAATTCGGGCATTTGGGGTTTTGGGCTTAAGTTTGGGGAGTTCCCCCAAACTAAGAACAGAACAAGAAAAGGAACCTTCAACTTCAGCCAAGCACCGCGAAACTACAGCCAAGACTCAAACCCACAACATCTGGAACCCACCTACCCTCAACCCTAAACCCTACAGCCGAAACCCTAAAAACCCTAAACCCTGCAGCGACAACCACAGAGCAACATCCCTGCATGCCCCTAAACCATCCTAGGGTCTAAGCTCCCCCCCCCCACAAAAAAAAAAAAAAAAAAAGAAAACACAAGCTGGGGCTGCCCGGCCAGGGCGACAACCTAGGATTTAGGGTTTAGGGTTTAGGGTTTAGGGCCAAGTTTACAGGATTTCGGGTTTCGGTTTTAGGGTTGTGCCCATCATGGTGCTGTGGCCGTTGTGGTGTTGCTGTTTTTCCTGGACCTTCCAACCCTACACCCTGCTTGGATTGAGGAGTCTAATGGTGGCGGTCGTGTAGACATTCTAGGGCTAGGGTGGGTGTAGCGTTCATGGCCTTTCGGTTTTGTGGACTTTGCAAGCCAAGTATCACTTCATAAAATTCGGGGTCCTATAACAAAAGCGACCTCTGTGTAGCAGCTTACAACGGCTGTACTGCGGTGACTGACTCCTGGGCCATAGAGAAGTGGCACTGCGCTGCTTTGGTGGTCCCTTCGCGAAGTTAGGGTTGAGGGTCGAATACTAAGGGTGCATAAGTGTTCCCTGAGGAGGGGCCACAACTTTCAGAAGCGAGGAGCTCAATCTCAATGAGTCAAAGTGCTTTGCGGTACTTAGAAACTTCCGAAGTTGGTTCGCGCGCGCCGAATTTCAATATGACTGAAGCAGCACCATGGGGACCGACTGGAGGTGACATGCATTCCACCTGCCCAGAATGCTTGCAAGTCTGGGGCGCGGGCTAGCAGCGAACTCCACAGGCGGTGTGTCTCGGTCAGGCAAGGATAGGATGCCCCCCAGCCCTAACTGCTTCAGGGCAAAACCTTTCCTATAGCTTGGAAGGCTTGCAAATCTGCTTGCTTTGCAATGGGCGCAAGAGAAGTAACTAAACCACTACGAGTCATGGTTCTGCAGCCTTCCCTGCGCAGCTCTCCCTGCGCACTCGCCCGCCGAATGGAACGAAACACCGGCTCTGCCCGACGACCATATCGTCAACAAATGTCGCGTGCTATGTGTCTCACCGATCGGACTGAGCCTCGCGCTTTCTTTCCAGCACGGGCAGCGTCTCCACGCACCATGTGGTACCGCCGGAGGTTGAACTAGACAGCCTAGTGAAATCTAGGTCTCACCCCACGCCATGAAGAACATGTTTGAAGGCGTTCTGCACTCGGGCCCATATTTACGTCCTTGCAAAGGGAAAACTCTACTACAAACACAAGGGGGCGAAATCAAAACAATGGATTCTCACCTTGGAAGAATGTGGCTCACCGAAGAGGGGTTTGTCTTGTCTTGTATACCGTGCTAAGAAATCTCTTGGCCCGGCGCGTGCAGAGTGCCCCCCGAAGGGTGTTGTCGAGATCGCGGCCGTGTTTTCCGGGGCTTAGGGTTCAGGATGCTAGTAGGGCTTAGGGTGTGAGGACTCTGGGGAGGAAACTTGCTACAGGGTTTCACGAATCGGATTTGAGAGTTTGGGGCTTGGTGTCGGAAGTTTGGCACCCTGCTCAGCGCTCGCATTTTGCTTGCCGGCAGCATTTGTCAGTCTGCTTCTTTCTTTGACGGCGGCGACAGCGACATCTGATCTGCCAAGCGAAGCAGCCAGGTTGGCTCAATGAAAATACCAAAAACGGATCGCACTGGCTGCGACGTAAGAGCATAGACCTGAAATTCTCCGATACCGGGAGTTGGATGTCGTGAGAGTGGGGAAGCTCCGCCTAGCCTACAAGGCCCCTAACTTGGTCTTTCTGTTTTGAGGCTGGGAGGAACGACTTTGCTAGGGATTCGGGTTTAAGACGTAGAGTTTAGGGTTTAGGATGAACAAAGCTCCAGCTGCTAGTCCCACAAAGTAGAGGTTCAATGCGCAGGCCAGCGCCATGAATCCAGCCTCGGTGGCGGAAAGTGGGAATTTCAATGATGAGAGGGACCCTTGGGGAATGCATATGTGTCAGACTTGTTAGCCTAGGGCTTAGGGTTGAAGGAGATACCACCCTGAACCCTAGAACCCAAACCCTCTTGACCCCCACAAAAGTCCTCATGCTTGCCCAGCAACAAACTCAACCAAAGGAGGCCAACCAAAGAGGCGAATGTCGAAGCTTGCCAGGTACGACAGCGCCATGGCGGCCCCTCGGACAAAGGGAGCGTGCAGCAGGTAGGCATACCTTGGAGACACCCCGGAGCAGCACCCAAAGGTTAGAGCTGTAAGTATACCCTACCCGTAGTACAAACCTTGATTCTATACCTTGAGTGGACTCAATGGGTTTAGGGAGCTTCGGGTTTCTGATGTGCAGGCCCCACTTTCTTCGTGTCGCCTGCCGCCAGTTGGTCTACTCATTGTTCGATTGTTAGATTCTGCTTGTAGGCACTCCACGCCTAGGCCGTCGAACCCCAAAATCTGGCTCCTCTTCCGATCAAACGCAGGAGTCTTTTGATAACCCTACGTGCGCATCCTGCATTCTCGGCCAAAACCCTAGATACCCGGTGGACCTTTTAAAGGGCCCAAGAAGCCCTGATTACCCTAAAACCACCGAAACCCGATGCACTGGGTTTAGGGTTTAGGGTTTCGGGTGTAGTGTAGGTCGAATTCCTGATTCTTGCAGCCAAGCGGCATGGTCATGGATCCCGCTTCTGTGAACCAGGTCTTCCCACGGGGAACCCCGAACAGCAAGAAGACCAACAAGGAAAAGGTTCCTTGCTAGGGTTTAGGGTTTAGGGTTTAGGGTTTAGAGTTCAGGGTTCAGGGTTCAGGGTTCAGGGTTCAAGGTTCAGGGTTTAGGGTTTAGGGGGGTTTATAGGGTTTTTAAGGATCTGGGTTTCGGTTCCTTGGGCTGATAGGGCGATCTCGCCGGTTTTTTCTTGGTGGGGTATAAAGGCTCGCCTTGCAACGGGGGGATCTTTATCAGCTTTAGGGCTTTTGGGGTGTAGTCAGGGTTTACGGCTGGTAGCGGTCTCTGGTCCGGGTACCATTACAACAGCAGCTAGGGTCTCTGCTGCGAAGCTTCGATATGCGACGGCTGCAAAGTAGCGAGCCCACAGCAGTTTGTAGTCTTCTGCGCAGCCCGGCGCGGATGGGTAGCGCCTCGGAACATCACGACAGGCCTTGTCAAGGTTACCAAAGGACAAGCCCCGCTTGCTGCTGCCAGACACAACACAGGTACTTGACAAGGCTGACTTGCAAGCTGTACCACGTACTCCTGCCAGAAAAGAACAACAATCTCACGCTAGTCAAAGGCTCTCTTGCCAGACCTGAGTGCTGCCCACATGTGTCACATTCAGGGGCTGCCCTAAACTTCAAACCCTAAACCCTCACCCAAACCCTAAATCCTAAACCCTACCCCCTCCCCCTCGCCCCTAGACCTGCCAAGACACAGAAATGGGGCGGTGTCGGTTTCTAGCACTTCGAAGACGCCGAACGTGACGGATTTCCAAACATCGGGCTGGTTTTCCAAATACAACCTGGAACTGTGGGACACAAGGTTGAGGGTTTTAAGAGTTTGGGGTTTAAGTTTAAGGTTGAAGAAGGTTTCGGAAGAGTTTAGATGCGACCAGTTCAAGATTTGGGCGTTGTGACACTGGCGCTCACCCTGGAGGATCTCCGAGTTCGCTTGGGGGAGCGCATAAGGGTCGAAGGTTTGCAGGGTTTAGGGTTTAGAGTTTAGGGTTTAGGTTTCAGTGGGGCTTCTGCTAACGGCACCCTACACCGTACGGATTAGCAGGCTGTGACTGTAGGCACCCTTAAAACCCTTCAAGCAAGCCTATATACACTAAAGACCCTATGATAAACCCTACAAAACACTCTAAACCCCTGAACCCTAAATCCTGAGGGGGAGCAAGCTCATCATGGCGGTCCACACAGTCAGTATGCGAGCGCTCGAGGGCGCTGGGACTGCTTGCACGAATCCGCTGATGTCCTCTCGGGGATGAGGGTTGAAGCGTGCTCGGATGTAAGCAGCTTGGTGCTGCAGATGATGGTTGGGGCTTCAGCAATTCTAGGGTTCTAGGGCGGAAGGGCCGAAGGTTGCAGGCTTTAGGTCCAGGGCTGTCAGCACTTAAGGCTTGCCCTGACACCACATGTCACTGAGGGGAGAGCCATTCTAGCACCAAAAAACTCAGGTGCGGACCAGATGTTGCCCCATAAGGTAGAAGGGAAACAAGCACAAAGCTCTCCTTGGCAACTTGCAGCGGCTCGGGGAATCTTGGGGTTTGGGATCCCAGCCGGAAGCCAAGCTGCGCTTCCTTCTCGTGGCAGCCTAGTTTATGTCCATACTACTAACTGTTTAAGTCCCTACGAGTAACTGTTTTAACAGCATCGCAGGACTCTGAGCCCATAAAACCCCAAACCGAACAAAGCAATGGGCTGGTACGCGAATGTGCCAGCTTCCCATGGGTTGGGTGAAGCCGGCGGCCAGTACACGCCCAGCAAGCCGCTCCCGATGCCCAGGGCAATCTGGGAGGGGGAGGAGAAGGCTGGGAGAGGGAGCCCCGGGTGGGGAGGGGGGGGGGGGGTAGGGATGAGGGTTTGCAGGGTTTAGGGTGGAGACATGCACCAGCCCTGATCTTCAACAAGCCCTGTTCTTTCTAAAGTTGTGGGAAGTGGTGATGCTATAGCCTTGAGAAGCTTGAAACAACCGAATTGAAGCTCCCATGCTGCCTGCAGGGCTTTGGGCCATCTCACTGTAAACATCGTTATCATGCGCCACACGATCAGGCAGCGGAGGAACCAAATGAAGTATCCAGGCCCACTGCCAGTCCACAATGCCACGGAGGAGCCTTACAAGCCGGCAACTCTCATATCATAGCATGGAGGCAGATAGCATCTTACTGCCAGCTCTTTTCTAGGCTTTCGTCAACTAGCACTCGCAGCGAGCAATGTGTTTGTGAACTTGCTGTGCTGCGCCTGCTACTCAACGCATGCAAGTACAAGCAGAAGATGCACAAGTACAAGTCCGGCAAGAGTAGTTTTGATGCTGCAGCAGAAGCAGCTATTGCTAGTAGTAGCAGTAGCTACGGCAAGCAGCAGCAGCAGTAGGAAGAGGAAGAGGAAGAGGAGGAGGAGGAGGAGGAGTAGCAGGAGGAGGAGGAGAGGAGGAGGAGGCAGAGAAGTAGTAGCAGTAATTTTAGCGCCAGCCCCGACCTTCGTAGTACGGCTCCGTGTAGAACCAGAGCGCGTCGCGAAGCGGCAGAGGTCTTGCCGGCATCAGCAGCTGAAGGAAGGGGTAGAGGACGGCTATGAAGAAAACCAGCGGCATCACCAGAGTCACCACCAGCTTCTGGAGTTGCTGGACGGAGAAACTCGCGCGAAGGACCCAGATAAAAAAATGAACATCGGCATGTGAAACCTTGGTTCGTGGGTTTATAGGGGGGTTTTAGGGTTTATAGGGTTTAGGGTTCAGGGCATGGACAACACGACAACACAAGGGGCTCCCAGTTCCAGGGTTTCGGAGTTACTTAGGACCAAAAATTGGGGTTCCCGTAGTATGACGCCCCCTCCTCCCCAGAACACTACAGTCCCTTCTATAGGAACCGCCAAAAAAAAGGTATCCCCATTAACCCACCCATTTATAGGTTGGGGGGGGGGGGGGGGGTGGGGGCAGATGCTGGGGGTTATGTTAGGCATGCTGTCTGCGAAGGCAGGTGGCCAGATAACATCTGCTGCGTCGACTTTCATCTTCGTGTCGTGAACCATGATAGCTCCAATGTGCGACCAGCACACCAACACCATTCCTGGGATCCCGACCCTAAAACCCTAAACCCTAAATTCTGTGCTTCTTATCTTCATGTTAGGAGGCCGGCCGTCGCAATAAGAGGAAGAACCCAGCTCAAGGGCCCACCAGCAACAGATCTGCCAAGGGGGAGCTCTAAAGAGCTTCCCGACATGGAGCTCTAAAGCTTCCCGACATTTCCCAAACAAGAAGAGGTAGAGTTCCCCTGGAACACTTGACTCATCCTGATTCCAGATACTCGAGATCGAGCTTGGGGCTCCCCACTGCGAGGAGGAGGCACTTAAAGAAACACGAGGGGGCCCATGAAGGCTGTGGAGTAGGGATGGTTGCGCCTAGGGCTTAGGGCCCAAGAATCCCAGGAACTTCGCATTGTCGAGGTGAGGATTCCTCGTCGACGCTTTCTTCGCTGAACCTCGCGCCGTGCGGGTCTCGGGAGGGCTAAGGGCTGCCGCCCATGTTGGAGAGATGCGGAAACAGAAAGCCTTAACTCTTCAACTCTTGAAAAATCCCCTAACCCTAACCCTAACCCTAAACCCTCTACCACAAAACCCTAAACACAACCCTAAACTGCAACCCGTGCCCCTGCTGGTGGTCGGACGCAGCTGCCTGCCAGCTTCTTGTCCACGGGGGGAAAGCAGCGCAGGGCTCCCAGGAGAAGTGCTGCGAAGAGGAAGGCTGCCAGGATGCACACATACGAGGACTCCTTGGGTGAGGGCATCATCTGGCTCTTAGTAGGGCATGGGGGCATGAGGGTGCCCTATGTGATCCCTTAAAGGGTATGTATAGGGCCCCCGAATTCCCTGAGAAGGCAAATTCTGCACCACTGGCTAACGGTGCAGAACCATGGCTTCTGGAAATCAGGAGTTCATCCCTAAATCCTGAGCCCCTAAATCTCCAAAAAACCCTAACGCCCCGCTCCCTCCCCTGAGCACGAGACCGCGAAGCAGTGAGGCGTCCTCACAACCTCCACAGTACGGGCTTGGGGGTTTGGGGCTTAGTTTTAAAGTTCGGGTTGAGGCAGAAGAGGTCGTCTCACTCATCAAAGTCAGAGCTGAGAACATCACATGATCAGTTCATATCAGCCATCAAAAGAGAACAGGTGCTTTGCGTCCCTGCTAGAATCATGCGGCCCCAATTACATCACATTGCATCGCACTTTGGCCCAACAGACGTGGGCGAAGCACCAGCCTGCTCGGCGTCGGCGGAGGTGTAATTCAGCTTCTGGTGGCGTTGCAGCAAAGTTGTGCCACCGACCTTGAAACGTGCTTCAGTGCTGTTCTCGCATAAGGCCCTTACATCGGGGCTAAACCCTAAACCCTAAACCCTAAACCCTAAACCCTAAACCCTAATGGAGGGGGGTGGCCTAATTCGAAACAGCCCGCAGGTGCAGACCCGGCCACGTGGTCCGGGAAGGCGTGACTGGAGCCAAGGCTGGCCTTATGGTGAGCAGAGGAACGGAGGAACAAAGCTTTAGGGTTTAGGGTTTAGGGTTTAGGGTTTAGGGTTTAGGGTTTAGGGTTTAGGGTTTAGGGTTTAGGGTTTAGGGTTTAGGGTTTAGGGTTCAGGGTTTGGGGTTCTACGTATTGGGGATCTCTTATGCTAAAAGTCCTTACTGGGGATGATCATAGGGGGTACTATGACCACTACCAAGGACTGTTAGTATCAGAAAAAATCAATCTAAGTATCATCTACACATAGCAAATCATGATCTGAAAAGATTATGATATGAGAATATCACCCTAAACCCTAAACCCTAAACCCTAAACCCTATACCCTAAACCCCTGATAGTAAGGTATTGTATGAGTCAAGCTTTATGTCAGAGGGCTTGCAGAGTTTAGAGAGCCTTAAAACCTCAGCACGCAGACGGGCGGCAGCTTTGGGCTTCTTGTTTTCCCCCCTAAACCCTAAAAACCCTAAACCCTACACCCTAGAGGCGATGGGAGACGACCAAAGAACAAATGACAAAACAAGGGCAGACGTTCTGCCAACCCCGCGCGGATTTGCTCCCACTTTCTACAGTAGTCTTCAAGGCCTGGGCCACAGATTCAGGTTGAATCGAAGTGGTTAATCCTACATTAACATTGCTGCCTCTGTGCCGTCAAGGTGCATGTTGAAGGGTCGTCATGTACGCAACTACAACATGTAAGGTGTAAGGTGGCTACACCTGGTAGCAAGCTCGAGGTAAAATGCGCACCATACATTGTCATGTTCACAAGCTCACAAGCAGGACCAAGGACGGCCGACACTTCGTAACGGCTCATGATGTAGCCCGTTCCTTTAACCTACTACCTAGGACTTAGGGTCCTCGATCAAGCCATGCAGAAAGCAGCAAAAAAAACCACGAGCTCGCTTTTCACGTCGGCGCGCGTAGACGACGCAGCCGGCGCTCGAAAGCGTCGGCGGTCCTGGGGTCTTGGCAGCGAGGCGCATGTCCAGCACTGGAACGACAAAGGCCGCACCTTGCTTGCCTCTACAACTCTTACATCGAATCGATTGTTGCTTTGGACGAAGTCTACGAGATCCGCGTTCTGAATTTTTTGTGCTTTCGGTTTCTGCAAGGCGGTTGCTGTAAATCTGGGTGTGACCTGAAGCGAGTGTCCAACCACACGGCGGACCGGCTTATCTCTGACATGGTTAAACGCTTCAGGCCATCATGACTGGCAACCGCCAACCCTACAAGAATTATAAGTGGGAACTTCTGGGAGATCTGGTCCAGGTTGAGCCTGTTCCCCCCTACCCACCCAACTCACAAACGAACCAGAAATTTGGGAAGTCCCGCGTTGTGAATTTGGCGCTTCTGCACCAAGCAAGCTGCTGCGCGGTGGGCCAAGTGACCCGCGGCCTGCTAAAATGCCAGAAGCCACGGCGAAGACGGAACGACTTCAAGCGACCGTTGCAGGAAGATAGCTTCGTCGTCTCCGGGGTCGATCGTGCCGTTTCAGTTTGAGGCTTAGGTATTAAGGGGTTAGGGTTTAGGGTTAAGGGTTTGTACTAGAGCTTGGGCTTTGGGTACTATCCATGCTGGCTGCTGGTGTAGGGAGTGGTGTATTACGTACCAAAGCATAAGGCACAAACAACCCCAGGGCTTGGATACTGTGGTAGTGACCCTAAACCCTAAACCCTAAACCCTAAACCTGTAAACCCTGGATATGGCGACCGCGGTCGCCATAAATCGGCCAGCTGGGACATGCAATTTGACGTCCCTCAGCCCACAGATTCGCAGATTCACACCAGGCTGTTCCCCCTCAGAGCAACAGCTGCTTTAACAGGGAACCATTTTTTGCAAGCTAGTTAAATCTTTTTTGCAATCTATATAGTTCTCCTGTATGTGTATATATATATATAAATGTATATAAAGGCTGTTGCTATGAGGGGGAGCATCCTAATATTCACGGCCCTATTGCCCTGGCTCATCTCGGGCCAAGAAAAACATGGCTGGGCAAGGAGACGATCGGCAGGGCGAGCGGCATGCAATGGCCCCGTTGGGCCTTCTGAAACGATTGAAATGGAAACGGTGCTGCCGGGGTGAAGTGGAGGGATTCGTTTCTCATGTCAACCCGTTTCGCATGGAACTTCACCCGGCTGCGTGAGGGGACTTCAGTCTGTTGAGTCCGATCTGCTGTAGCAAAATGACTCTGACCCATCGCTTTCAAGTCCAGGTTGGCCTCGCAACATCAAGAAACCCGAAGGTCTTTGAAAAAGCTACCTAAACAAGGGTCCTCTTCAAGACGATGAAGGCAAGTGTAGTGCCATATACGAGGGGCCACCCTAATCCCCAAAACTCCGGAACCCCAAAAAAACAACACACTCAAACCCTCGACCCTACAGCAAGCCCTAAACGGCCTAGCATCCCAGATATGGGGATTTCCCCCCCGAATAGGGGCATCCCCCTTACATACCCCCAACATACTCTAATCCATGTGTAGAAGGACACCCTAAACCCTAAACCCTAAACCCTAAACCCTAAACCCTAAACCTTAAACCGACCCTAGGTTTTTATCGGAAACTCCTATGTCGGAATCCCGGAATCCCACCTTCAGCACTCAGCACCAGCCACCTGCTTCGCGCAACCCCGGCGACCTCGGGGGATGCACCGGTGTAGGGATGAGGGCCGAGATGTGGTAATCGCTATACTCAGCAATGCTTTATGAATGGTTTCCGAAATTAGGGGGGACCTTCTTGGGGTCCTCATTACACGGGGATCCTACTACCTACTGTACTACTAGGTGACTCCTGGGGCCCATACAGCCGCGCAATGGCTTCCGCGAGCTGCTTGTGAAACCTTGGCATGCGCGCACCAAAGGCTCTCCAGGTTGCGGGGCATTCTCCAGTTGCTTTCATACACTTTCGCCATTCCGAAAGTCAGTAGCAGGGGGGCCTGGCATGGGCGCATTTCTGCAAACTTGCTTCGCTTGCAGAGAAGGAGTACTTTTTTCTGAGCCTTATAATGACACATTAAAGTAAAACATAACAGAAGTATGACAAAGCATAAGTATCGTATAAGAATAGAGTAGAATGTAAGTGTAGTATAATTCAAGTACAGCATGAACGTAGTACAAAGATTCTTGACAGCCCCCTGAATCCGAAACCACAGGTCCCTGCGACCCAAAGTTATCCCAAACCCGAAAGCAGAAAGCCTGAAATTCCCCACCACACTTGGGTAAGAGGTCCCTTGAAGGGAATCTATTCGATTTGGGATACAAAAGGGGGAACCCCTATTATGGGAAGTACCCACTTCGGGCGCTTCGGGCTTGTTGAGTCGAATTCTCTCAGCCGGGCGTCTCCATAGTGGAGGATCCCATACATTCCATTGCCACCTGGTCAGCGATTCCATCATCCCCCCCCCCCCCCACCCCAACCCGAAGTTTTCTTGGGGGCCCTGCAAGTTACAAGTGTACTGCCACTACCTTCTAATACTACTGTAACTATAATACTATGATAACACTATGATAATACTATGAAAATACTATGATAATACTACGATAATACTATGACAATACCATGATAATACTATGATAATACTATGGGAATGCTGAGATGATACCATGATATTACGTACCACTGCAATACCCTACACCAGATATCATGCTTGTTAGCCCCAACCCAGCCCAGCCGGTGCCTGACGGCGTTGCTTCGCCAGCTCGACCTCCGCCCTGGCTTCAGCAGGGTTCAAAGTAGGGGCCTGAATCATTAGAATAAGGGTTTGGGGGTCTATTATCATAGAATTACAAAGGGACCCAAAGGGAATATTATTAGTAAGAATTCCGGCCCCTACATGACATGGGCGTGCCCGGCGTGCTGGCCGACGTCAGGCTTTCGGGGTGTGGGGTTTAAGCTGGAAGGGGTTCTTCAGCAATGGCGGCAGCTCAGCTACCTGCAAACTCTCCGCCCTCAGCCATGGGTGAAGGACGACCTCTGCTGTACTCCCGACTCAGCCCGGGGCCGGCGTTTGGCCACCCACTTGGCGGCCAACCTGGGCCTCGAACAGCCAAAGCCCCGCGCAAAAAAGGCCTAAACCCTCTCAAAACGCTGAGCCACTCGAAGGGTTCAGGCTGTTTAGGATTAATGGTATTATAAAAAAAAGTACTATAATCGTACTATAATAGTACTAGAACTGTATATTAGTACCTACAATACTTTTAGAGTACTATTAGACTGCTATTATAATACTATCATAATACTGTAATACTCATGATACTATTATAGTACTACTAATAATTAGTAGTACTATAATCGTATCATGAGTATTACAGTATTATGATAGTATTATAATAGCAGTCTAATAGTACTCTAAAAGTATTGTAGGTTTAGGGCTTAACCCCACACAGGCAGCTTCTGAGGGAGGAGCATCAGTGTCGCGTTCTTCTTGGCAAATCGGCATGGAGTGGTCTCATACATGTGCTCCGCGGTAACGTGCTCCAGCACTTGCAACTCTTGGCGGGACACCCAAGAAATGCAGGCCTTAGACCACGCTATCCCAGAGCAATCTGCTCGTAGCAAGATTGCATGAAGAAACGACACCTCACACATGTCTCACGAAGACTCATCTGCAGCGTGGCACGGGCGCACGCCCTAAAAAAGTTGGGGTTCCAGCGCCTTCCAAAAATTCGGCATCTAGTCGTAGCTTCGTCATATGCTAAATGCAAGCCCAGCATCAACTGGGCAGGAGGCTTGCGCCCAGTGCAGGTCGTCCTCTGACTCGCCCCATTGAGCATACACCCTGGCCCGATCATCATCCGCATCCATGCCTTCGGCATCTCAAGCACAAGAACCGAGTTTATTGTGGCTTTATCTGTGGGCCTGGGTTCCGGTGGACTTACATTGGGTTCGCCTGCGCGGACGACTGTAATATAATAAAACCACCCGGTCAGGTGGCAGCTCACGCGCCCGTGCAAAAGCGTGCCTTTCAGCTGATCTTCCCTTCAAGTTCCGAGACCCGAACAAAAGTTCAGGTCACCTCCAACCCTTCTATCGCCCAGGCGCAGAAAGTCCTCGGCGCGCACTCGATGCATCGGCAACATGAAATGCAGCGCAGTTCCTTGGTGCTCCCAGAAGCCCCGGCTATCTGCATTCGGACATTGCTGCTGGAACCAGAACAGAGTGCTCGTCAGTGTCAGCACTTAAGCAGCAAGCATTGGGATGTTCCCCCTTATACTAACAGTCCTTAATAGGGACTCTAGTACCCGTACTAGAATCCCTAAACTAAGGGCTGTTAGACAACGGGGGAACATCTGGCGCTCCTGCGCAGGTCCAGTGCGGCCTCGGCGCGTCCACGAACAAGAACTTCTGCTGCTCCCACCTTGGCTCGAACATGGCGAGGTTCAGAGATCGTGAAGTGGGGGGGTCTCCTAAATTAGGGGTTTAGGGTTTAGGGTTTGGGGTTTAGGGGGTATCTTATTGCGGGGTCCTTATGAAAAGGGGAACCCTGTACTATTTGGGGGGGGGGTTCTCTTTTAGGGTGTCCCTTAGTTTTTCGAGGACCCTTATTTTGCCGTAAACCCCCAGGTGGTTGCCTTCGGCTTTCGTGGCCTCAGTGCAGCCCTGCGACTTCTCCCCCCGGTCTTCAAGTGGGACTCGGTCCCAAAGCGATCGCGAGCGCCTGGCTTCTCGGTAGAGTGCTTTGCAGCCTACTCAAACCCAAAAAACCAAAAAAACAAAAAAATGCATGTATATATATATATAAATGAATAGTAATGATAATAATAAAACCAATAATAGTTATAATACTAATAACTAATATAAATCCCCCTACGAAGTCTGCCCTCTCGGCTACAGACACTGCTGGACTGCAGCCATCGCGGCGGGTGGCCACAGTAGACTGGCTTCGTCTGACGAATCTTCGGAATCCAGGGCCACCTCCGAGCATGGGGGGAGGGGGGGGGGGCGGTTGGGGTTTAGGGTTTAGGGTTTAGGGTTGAGGGTTGAGGGTTGAGGGTTTAGGGTTTGGGGGTTTTGGGGGGATGGAAGGCGGCAAGGGCAGGCACCGGCATGAATGAGCACCGCCGAGCTGACGCGTCAGAAGGCCCGTGCAGCGGAAACTCTGGAACTACCTGTGGCCACGCTGAGGCCCGGACACCGGGTCGTTACACTCGGCTTCTTCGTGATTCTCAAGATTCTCCATGTCGCGCTGAAGGCCTACTCTGGGAGCTTCTCAAGCTGCAACAGATGCAATCTGCGACTCGAGCTGTCGAAGCTCATTAAGTGTCAGTCAGGTGGCTGGCATCGTACATGGACCTCTTCTCTCGGTCCCGCAATAGGTCAAAAGCACCTCTGGATCACACATGCCCCGGACCCTGGACTCAGCCCTGAAGCCTAGACTCAACTTGAAGTGTGTCGAGCCGTCCAACGCGGATGGCCCGATCCATAACGTGCCCAGGCACTGTTCAGCAGCACGCTCACTTCCTGTTCAATCTGAAGAGAGGGGTGCATTTGCCCATTCTCAAACGCTAAACATTTGCCCTTTTCCGAACCCTAAACCTCAAACTCAGCCCTGACCCACTAAAAGCCTAAAACCACGAGCACCCCTCCGCACAATCCATGTGTCGAAGGGATTTTTATAGGGTTTGGGAAATCTTTCAGAAGTGTCTTCAAAGCTGCACGAGGGCTCTGGACCTTGGGACTTTTGGGCTTCTCGGGTTCAGGGTTTAGGGACATAGATTGACCCTCCAGGTCTCGGTTTTCGGGTTTAGAGTCCCCAGAACTCTCAATCCTGAACCTTCACTCCAATTTGGCCTTGCCTGAGCTTCAGCACCGGCGACGTCGGGATGGAACACTTTCCTTGGGCTTTCGAGTTCGTGTTTGAAGGTTTAAGGTTTTCAGCTTTAGGGGTGAGGTTACGCATCAGGGAGGCTTGGGGCTATAGCGTGTCTCAGGGTTTCGGGGATTTGGGGAGCGTTCGCGGGCCCCAGCTTTTTCGTGCCATGGATCTGCTTGGCGAGGTAGGCCTTCCGAATGGTTGTGGTGTCTGCTCGGTGGTCAACCTCGGCTACCCTCCGACATTCTGCCGGGAGGCCAAACTCTCTGAACCCTAATTAACCCCTAAACCCCCTGTACCATCCCTGAGCCCTGAAACGCAGCTCTGAACTCGCCAGCAGTCTGGTCAAGCCAGGAGGCACCCAAGAACTCGTAGAGGGTGCGGGGTATGTTCCTCTGAGGAATGGCAGGTCAATGATGATCCGGACTCATGGACTTATAGGGCTTGGTCTGAGGTCAGATACGCAAACAACTTTCAGCCAGTACCAGCCTCAGCTGTGTCTGCTTGCAAGCCCAAGCATCCCATAGCTGGACGCATGGACGTGCATGTGCATCCGGTGCGCCGTGCAGTTGCGGGAGACCTTGCGCTTTCGGAGACCTGCGCTGCGAAGAGAGTCCACTGAGGGAAGTTGGAGGCGTCGGACTCCCATCCCAAACTCTGCTCTGAACACATCCCTCAACTACATGGACATATAAAATACACACTGCAATATACCTTATGTATAATATATATATATATATACGTTCCAATATCAGTAAGCATGTGTACACAGATTCTTTATACAGTGAGTGAATGAAGGCCTCTGCGCACCATGCTGCTCAGCAGCGCTAGAGGTATCGCTGCTTCGGCCGCCAGGGCGGCCCTGCCGGGTTGGAACTTTTAGGGGTTTGCAGGCTTTGCAGGATTTCGGGTTCGGGTTTAGGGTTTAGGGTTTAGGGTTTAGGGTTTAGGGTTTAGGGTTTAGGGTTTAGGATCTGCGAGCTTGGGTGGGTTTTGTGCTTCTGGGGCTTAGGTCGGTGAGTGAACTACAACGACTAAGATACCTCTCTTTCACACCTACAACAACCCACGGCAGGATGCATCCTTCCAGTCAACCCTTAACCCTCCACTCCTGCATTTGCAGGCTTCGAAACTCGGCAAGTTGGAGTACCAGAACCTGGCTGAACCAGAAGGCTCTTCGCAGACAAGGGAAAACTCATGAGAACTCACTTCAGCACGTGCCGGCGGAAATTGGCACATTCTAGATCATTAACTCTTGGGATGTTCCCCCGTATACTAAGTCCTCAATAGTGACTATAGCACCCCCTATTATAATCCCTATTCAGGACTGTTTGTATAAAGGAGAACATCCCAAATATTCGCTCCCTCAACCCGAGCACTGAGGCGCCGGCGCAGGCCCGGAATTGTGAAGACTGCTCCTCACAGCGAAACATTAGTCAAACGGTCGGTCTAGTGCTTCACCAAACAGCTGGGGGTTTAGG